GCCCAAGCTGGTCTTGAACTCCTGGGCTCAAGTGATCTGCCCACCTCGGCCTCCCAAAGTGGTAGGATTACAGGCATGAGCCACTGAACCCAGCTCTGTTTATTTCTTTTTAAGTATATTATTTTCTCACTGTTGTTCAGATTGGGTAATTTCTAATGGTCTATCTTTACGTTCACTGATTGTTTCCTCTATCCCCTCCATCCTCCTTTTGAGCCCATCCATTGCGTTTTTTAGTTTGGTTATTATAGTTTGTACTAAAATTTTATTTGATCCTTCATTATATCTCATTTCTTTTTCTTTGAAAAACTTGCTATTTTTTTCATTTGTTTTAACCTTGTTTGTAATTGCTCACAGAAGCATTTTTTTCTTTTTTTATGTTGGTCACTTTAGAATCTTTGTCAGATAGTTGAAATCTGTCATCTTGATTCTTTCTTGTTCAAGTTGAGGGTCTCCTGGTTCTTGGTATAATGAGTGTTTTGTTTTGTTTTGTTTTGTTTTGTTTTTTTAGACACAGGGTCTCACTATGCCGCCCAGGCTAACCTGGGCTCAAGTGATTCCCAACTCAGCCTCCTGAGTAACTGGGACTATAGGTGCTGGGCTTAGATATGGAGTGATTTTTATTGCATTCTGGGAATTTTTAGATATTATAGTATGAGACTCTGGATTTCATTTAAGTCTTTTGTTTTTGGTAGGCTTCTTCTGACGCCATTTTCATCAGAGGAAAGGGCCACTGCCTGGTTACTGCCAGGTAGAGGTTTAAGTTCTAGTTCCCTCCTTGACCTTGTTTGATATGTGAGGTGGGGGCTCCTTTCTACTGTGCAGAGATGAAAATTCCAGCTCCCTACCAGGCCTCCACTGTTGCCTCCCAAGCTGGAAGGGGCAGAAGTACCTTTTTACTGTTCCCCAGGTGGGCTTCCACTAACACCACAGTCAGGAGGTGGAGCGATTTGGGGAGGGGAGAGGGAGGCTAGCAACCTCATTAAATGATACGTTGCGGTGAAAGTCCTGACTCACCCCAGGCCTCCTCTGACACTGATACCACCCAACAGGAAGGGGGACTTGTTATCCCACAGGGATGGAAGTTTAGGCTCTCTACTCAGCCTTCTCTGACACTACCCCAGAGAGTATGGGGGAGCCTGGCCGTAGTGAAAAGCTGGGTTCTCCACTTGACCTTTGCTGGCTTGGGTGCAGTTGCAGTCTTTTTTCTGTGGGGTGTGGTTGCAGTGGGTGATTATTGTCTAAGAGTTTTCTGTGTGGCTAAATTGTCCATTTCCTGGGCTTATGGCTAGAGAGAACAGGCCAGTTATTGGTGTTTGCTTTTTTTTTTTTTTGTCTGTGTCCATTGGCATTTCCAGCCTGCTGGCTTCTGCAGTACCTGGTCTGGAATATTTGAGGCAAGAAGAAAACCCAGGGAGCTCATCACCTTGAGTTCAGGTCACTGGGGTTCATAGTCTGCCCCCTTCCTCTTCTTTCATAGTCTTCTTATGTTTGTCTTATACATAGTGTCCAGAGTTCTACCTGTACTTAGTCTGAGGAATAGGGAGAAGTGTGTCTATTCTAACTGGGTCCATAACTGGAAGTCTTCCCTCTTTCATAAAAAAATTAACTACATTGAGTTTTTGAAGAGCACCAATCAATTTCTTTGGATTTGTCTTTTTCTTCATGGTGTCATTTATCTCGTTCCTTTATACAGGACTCCACCTCTTATTCATGGTTTTCACTTTCCATGGTTTCAGTTACCCATGGACAACTGCAGTCTGAAAATATTACTTGGAAAATTCCAGAAATAAACAATTCATAAGTTTTAAATTGTATGCTGTTATGTAATGAAATCTTGTGCTGTCCTGCTCCATCCCACCCAGGATGTGAATCATCCCTTTGTCCAGTGTATCCACACTGCATACACTACCCGCCTATAAATCACTTAGTAGCCATCTTGGTTATCACTTCAGAAAAATATAGTATATATAGGGCTTGGTACTATCTGCTGTTTCAGGCATCCACTGGGGGTCTTGGAACATATTCTCCATGGATAAAGGAGGACTACTATACCCTGTATTTACTGTAAGCTGGAAATTAAAATAGAGGGAATAGGTTGGTCAGGGTAGGCTTCACCGAGAACATGGCATTTGAGCAAAGAATTGAGGAAGGTGAGGAAGTGACCCATGCAGAAGAGTAAACCTAGCACGGGGAAGCCAGTGCAAAGTTCCTGGGTAAGGAGTGCAAAGTGTCCTAGTAAGCAGTGCGCCTGGCTTGCTCAAGGAACAGCAAGGTGAATCATGTGGCTTTAACAGAGTAAGGGAGGGGGAGAATGCCAGGAGATGAGATCAGAGATTTAATACGGGACTAGATTGTGGAGGATCTTGTAGACCATTGTAAAGATTTTCGCTTTACTCTCAGAGAGATGGAATACCATTGGAGGGTTTTGTGCAGAGAACTGGCATGACGTGACTGGGGTTTAGCAGGATTGGTATAGCTTCTTTGCGGAGAATAGGCCACAGGGGCAAGGGTGGAAGCAGTGAGACTAGTCAGGCGGCTGCTGAAGTGATGCAGCTGAGAGGTGGTTTTGCCTTGGACCAGCGTGGTAGCATGATGACCACCATGATGACAAGTGGTTGGATTCTGGGTGTATTTTGAAGGGAGAGCTGACGGTATTTGCTGACAGACTGGATACGAGGTGTGGTTCCAAGGATTTTTTGCCTGGACAACTGGAAATGTGAAATTGCCATCAATTGAGATGAGGACAGTTTTAGGAGGGGTCATTTTTTGGGGAAAAGGCCAGCTGTTCAGAAATGAACATGTTGAGTTTGGGATGTTTATTAGATACCCAGTTGGAGATGAACACAGACCCTGCCACCAAGATGCTCGAAATGAGAGAAATGGAAATATGGAAGCAGGTCATGACCATACCTGTGAAATATACTATTTCAGAAGGGTGTATAGAAAAGCAAGTTATCAACTCTACTTGTTGGAGAGGAGGAGACTTAAGAAAAGTTTCACAAAGGAGATGATATTTTCAGTTTGGTCCCAAAAGGTGACCAAACTGTTCATTAGGCAGAAAAAGGAAAGGTATTGTTTTCTGTACGCCTAAACCTGGCACATAGTGATTGCTCAGTCAGACCCAATCTAGTCATTATTTTTGAGAGTTTGGACATTACTTAACCTCTGTGAGACTCGGTATTGTGATCTATGAAAAGGAAATAATCACAGTGTTCTTGTGAGGATTAAATGTAGAACACTTGGTACACCGTGTGGTACATAGTGGGTTAGTGTTAATTATGGTCGAATGAATGAATGAATATCTTCCTTAATGACCAAATCTAGGCTAGGCTGGTTACCCAGGAGCTTAGTCTTTTATATGCTCAACAGTTTGTCAACAGAGATTGCTCGGCTCCTTTCAACCTCTGAACTGCTCTGATTGAAAAATAGCATTGATAAGCCTGAACTGAATGGAGAGGGTCAAACTACCCTCTTCCGGCCCCATCCTCCCTCACCCCCTTTTATGCCCTATCCTGTTTAACAGGTTTCTTCCTCCCTTCCTCCCACCCTTCCTCTCTTTTCATTTTTTAATTGTGAGCAGAATCCCTTCGGATTCATAATGAGCTTCTCCCCATTCCATAGGCTCCCTGCCGCTCAGACTGGACTGGGTTGACAAGGCTGGGAGGAGGTCAGCCACGCTGAGACACTGTGACACTTTACTAGGGAACCTCCCTTCCAACTGCTAGGGCTCCAGCCTGAGACCCCAGGGAGACAGTCGCCCCCTACGGACCAAAAGCAGCCCCACACCGGCTGCAGGCGGCTCTGGTTGCTAGGCGACCAGGCGATGGAGGACTTCAGGAAGGGATTTTCAAGCAGAGAGAATATTTCTCTCCTTCCACCGCCTCTCCTGCTCCTTCAGCAAATAGACGGGGCTGGGATCGCGCGGTCCGCTGCTGTCTTATAAGCCGGGCTCATTCTTGAAAACAGAGCCTCACTGGAGACCTCCGTATTGTGTGTGGCGAAACGATCACTCTTGCCCCAAATGTGGTTTCATCTGGGGGCTGGAGACTGAGGGCGGGAGTTTCTGATTTGCAAGGAGGGGAGGAGCACTGTCGTGGGTGTGCACCCTTAGTCAATGGGAATTCTAGCAAATCGAGCTTGCGTGGGAATAATTTTGATCAGTCCATCAAGATTTCCCCACGATTCTCAATGTATACATTAGGAAACTCTTACGTTCGCCCATTAAAATAAAAAGGTCCCATGGGAATGACAATATATAAAGGATCATTCATACCTCATTGGGGACAAGTTTTCAGTGGCTTTCATCAATTCGGTTTCTCTCCAGACAAGGGAGAGATCATGAGGTCTGTGAATCCCTGCGAGTAGGGACAGAGCCCCCAAAAATGTAAAGAAATAAAAAGAATGGTGGGGTGGGGGTGTGGTAAACACAGAATCTGGCAGCTTCTGAGCGCTGTGTCTGGTTTGGGGATCCCCAGCTCTGTGCCCCCTGTGTTAGGACCATGTGGAAGCACTCCAACCTTCTGAAGGCTGTGGGGGACCAGAAATCCACAGCTTTTCCTTCTAAAAACCTAGCATTCTGGCCCAGGAGTGGGCCCAGGCAGGCCAAGGCCATGACCAAAACAATCTTTCCACTTGGGACACATCTATTCCCTCTTGGCTAGTACAACAGAAGCTTGATTGTGGCAAAGCCCCAAGCCATGGCAAGCTTAGGGGAGAGCTGTGCCCAGGAGTCTCTTCGTGGGCTTTCCCTCAAGAGTTTCAAGGTAGAGATACTAGGGTGAGGTAACTGGCAGCCAGAGAGCATCTGGCCCAGCCACTGCTCAGTCCACAACATCTCCACAGGGCATGGTGGCAGGGGACGCTTCTTGCTCTCTGTGCTTCCAAACTGAACTGGGTCGGGGCTGTGATTCTGCTCTATTAATAGCCCCCTAGCCCAGCCTGCTAGCCCCAAACCCGGATGCCAGGAGCTGTGAGTCAGCAGCTAAAAATAACGAAGAGCAACTACATCCGAACCCCAATGAGCAGCTCCCCCGGGTCCTCCGCCCTTAAGTTTTTGTCAGTGTCAGTCTCCAGCCCAGAGCCTCATAGAGGTTAAGCCGCTATAGCTGTCCAGTTCTCCTGGGAAGAGAGTGAGGATTTCCGGTGGCAGGCTCAGGGCTGCATATCCAAGGCTAGGGGCTAGGAGTAAGGGGTTAGAGGCTGGGGCTAGGTGCTGGCGTTTCGGTTGGGGGGCTGGACGCTCAGGTTAGAGGACCGCAGCTGAGAGTGTGAGAGGCGAGAGCCTGGGGATGCAGGGATGGAGATGTTGGAGGTCTTCAGGGTGAGGTTGGGCAGTGAGGGGAGGAAGAGGCTGGGAGACTGGGAAGGGACAGAAAAGTAGGGATGGGGGAGGAGGTACATGCTGAGAGGTGATAGCCTGGCAGTATCGGGCAGACTGGGGGACCTAGGGCTAAAGCTGGTAGCCAGCCTGACAGAGCGGGATGGCTCCGGAACCAGGAAAAGTAAGGAAACGCAGCTCAAAAAGGCCGAGTGTGGGAGAGACCTGCCCGGTACACAGCGGTGTGGACCCCCAGGAAGACCAGGACCTGAGCACCGATTGCGGCGTTCGCTCCCTGCGCGCCTCCAGCCTCCCCGCGCGTTGCACGCTGGCACCCCCGCCCACTGCGCCAGCTGCAGGCCAGGTACGTGGGCGCGGCCGGCCTCCGGAGTCGGAATGTGCAGAGCTGCGCATGGAGGGGGCGGGGCGGCCAGAAAGGGAAGGGGTGGGCCTGGGAGAAGGGGGCGGGAACACGGATTCAAACTCGCCTCCGTCCGGCAGGAGACCGGAAATGGCCGGGGGCTCACTGGGAATTGTAGTTTCCACGGCTGCCGCGCAAGCGAGGGTTGGGGAGCGGATCTTATCCCGAGGTGCCAGTGCTGCCCCAGGTCCCAGTCTGGCGAGAGAGAAGGAACCGAGAACCGGACCTCCCGACCTGGCCAACTCCTTAGTTCGAATTCCCTCCGTGTGAAGATACGAACTAGGTCGAATGTGGGTGTGGCGGAAGACTGTGGGTTTACCACAGAGCCCCCTCTTGTCTCCGTTTTTGCCTTAGCTCCTCCCTGCTTCTACCAGACTCTTCATCCTCGGTCAGCTCCGCACTGGCCAACTCAGCCGCGGAGCCCAGGGACTCCCGAGCCGCAAACGCATTGGAGAACTTGCTCCTCGAAGGGAAGGCTGGGCCGGAAATCGGACCCTGCGTATAGCCCAGAGGAGCGAAAACTTGTGGAAATCGGACCTTGCCCTCGGAGTCCTGAGTCAAGGACACGAGTCCCCAGGCGGCACGGAAAACAGGTGGCATTCAGCAAATACGTCACGGCGACAACGGATGCGGCCCGCCTCTTGGGGCGGGTGGCCACAAGGTGGAGCTACGGCGCAACCCTGCACCGCGTGCCTGGCCTCCTGACGCCCCCTGAGGCGGCTGCTCTCCAGGGGCCTCCCGCGGTCCTTCTTTGCCGCAGGTCATTCATCCTCCCACCTCCAACCCACTTCCTCCCATCTTCCCCTGATGGCCCGTCAAGGTTGTGTCTCATCCAACCCTAGATAGAAGGTGCCTCCTCTCCCCAGCCCCTAAACCGAAAAGATTAGGCTGTGACCAAATGGAGATTACATTCATTGAGTAATAGATTAAGACGAAATACAGCAACCAACTTGCCTTGAAGAAAAGGCTGCCCACAGCAAAAAGCCACCTGTAAGCACGGAATTACGTGGCTAGATGGGCTCTTCAGCAACTAGCCTCTAGGCAGCAAAGCAGCTAAGTTGCAAGGGTCGGGGAAGACAGTACATCGTGGGGTGGCGATGGTGTCTCTATCTTCTTATAGTTCTTCGGGAAAGACCATTTTGTCATCTCCTTCAGTCCCTCTTCCAAGCTATCCCACCCCGACACACCCTGTGCCTTCTGTGCAAAAACAGGTGCACACAAGTCTGAGACATTATCCGAGCAATCTCCCTTTTTCTTCCTCTGTTCTAGTTTCATTTGGGGAGAAACTTCTCATGACTCACTGTTTTCCCAAACACCTCAGGTCAAAACCCCAAGGGGAGCAGATTCCATAGCAGTTTAGGGAATGCTCATCATCTGGGCAGAGGGCCCACATGGTTCAAAACCTCCTGTTGGCAAAGCTCCCCCGACTGCAACCCACCACCCCTGAAGGATTCCATTTCAGCCAGTCTCCCAACCCTTGCTGTTTGGGCAATGTAGACTGGCTTGGGTGGGGAGGCAGGGCAGGGCATTCATTCCATCATGAAATTGTTGATCCTTGTCAGCAGCACTGCTGTTTCTAAGCCTGGGGAGGAGGGGGATGGTGGGTCATCTAGAGAGTTAAGCAAGGGAAAAGCTACAGGAGGAGAAACATGAGATGAGGGGAGAAAGTTCTTACCAGTTTTCTCTCTCTTCTTACCAAATCTCCTGTGGGAAGAAAAGCTTCACATTGTGAATTCAGCTAGCTTCAAGCAGGCCCTTCCAGCCCCACACCCAGTCCCCCAACTACCTTTCCCACATTCAAGCCAATTTGATAGTATAAGGAAGGGCCTAAGAATCTCAAAGGAACTAAACAGACCCCAAGCCCCGGGGAGCATATATGAATCTGAAGCAGCCTCATCACCAGGGCCCTGGAGAAGGTAAGGACCCAGAAAACTGAGGCACAAAGCACTCACCTTCGGAGGAGGAAGATCCACAAAAGCAGCATGGTGGAGACACAATTGATAATGGCCCACATGATTAGGTAGTTTCGAGGGGTCTGTGAAAATAGGAAAAGGCCCCAAGGGTAGTATGTCGGGGGAAATAAGAAGAGAGGAACAGGGTTAAGGAAAACCAGGATGGGAGAAGAAGAGAAGAGGTGACATCCCAGAGCCCTTACAATAAGCCAGATAGGGTAACGCATCTGCTGCAGCAGCTGGCAGTCATTGGTGGTGACCGAATCCACCCCTGCACACCAAAGCAGGGAGAAGAGCCAGGGCTTGTTCACTACAAATAGGTTCACTGAGACATTATCCTTGTGCAGTGCCCTGTGAAGGTGGGAAAGAAAATAGGGAACACCCAGAATCATGGTGCACAGGCCATGGGAGGCAGCCCCCTGCCTGTGCTTGCATCTACAGTGCCACTGCCCGGGAGGTATCAGTTCTGCCTTTGTATAGCAGCCCCTGACCAACAGTGATTTTTCTTTCATAGCTGAACTCTTGTTTTCTGGTGGATTCCACCCAAGGCTCCTAGCTTTACCATCTGGGGCCACACAATGTGACTCTCCCATGGGTCCTGAGCAGAGGCGCTGTCTCCCTGAGCCTTCTCTTCTCTAGGCCCCACAGCCCCAGCTCCTTCAGCCATTACTCTTATTATTTTGTTCCCCGTACAAGCCTCTCTAATATGATATTATTCCAGTTTATCAATGTTCCTTTGAAAATATGGGGCCTGTCTCTGAAAATAATATCCAAGATGGGCTTGCACCAGCCTTTTTTTTGAGACAGGGTCTTGCTCTGGAGTGCAGTGGCACAGTCTTGGCTCACTCCCACCTCGATCTCCTGGGCTCAAGCGATCCTTCCGCCTCAGCCTCCAGAGTAGCTGGGACCATAGGTGGGCACCACCACGCTCAGCTGATTTTTGTATTTTTTTTTTTTTTTTGTAGAGACGGGGTTTTGCTATGTTGCCCAGGCTGGTCTTGAACTCCTAGGCTCAAGTGATTCTCCTGCCTTGGCCTTCCAAAGTGCTGGGATTACAGGTGGGAGCCACCATGCCCAGACAGCTTGGGTCAGCTTTGAATAGAGCAAAACTATCTCCTCCTGTCCTCTGGGCACTATGCCTGTATTCAGGTAGCCCAGAGTCAGGTTAGCCTTTGGCAATGTTACATCCCACTGATAACTAACTATGCACACTGTTCAAAGCCCTGGTTTTCTTCACACATGTTGATACCAGTGTCTCCTCTCTGGTCTTTGTGCAACTGAAATTCTTTTGGGCCCCGAATAGAGGTCTTTAAATCTGTCCCTGCTGTATTTCACCTTGCTAGATTTTTTTTTTTTTTTTTTTTTTGAGACATAGTCATGCTGTCACTCAGGCTGGAGTGCAGTGGCTCGATCTCGGCTCACTGCAACCTCCGCCTCCCAGGTTCAAGTGATTCTCCTGCCTCAACCTCCTGAGTAGCTGGGATTACAGGCACACGCCATCACACCGGCTAATTTTTGTATTTTTAGTAAAGACAGAGTTTCACCATGTTGGTCAGGCTGGTCTCGAACTCCTAACCTTGTGATCTACCTGCCTTGGTCTCCCAAAGTGCTGGGATTACAACTGTGAGCCACCATGCCCAGCTTCATCTTGCTAGATTTGACCTATCTTTTTACAGCACCTAGAACTTTCAGGGTCTCGATTCCATCATCAGTGTATTCATTACCAATTCACATCTTTTGGAAACATGATCAGCAGTTGATTAGCAGTTGATGTTGACCAGGACAAGACTAAGGTGACTGAGGGCCAAACCCTATGTCATGTCTTCTTATTTGGTGATAACTTGGGGAAAGAAATATTTATGTAGCTAGGTGAGGTGGCTCGTGCTTATAATCGGGAGGCTGAGGTGGGCAGTGGCTCATGCCTGTAATCCCAGCACTTTGGGAGGCCAAGGCAGGAAGATTGCTTGAGGCCAGGAGTTTGAGACCAGCCTGGGCACGTAGTAAGAACCTGTCTCTTTAAAAAAAAAAATTAGCCGTGCATAGTGGTGTGTGCCTATAGTCCTAGCTACTCAGGAGTCTGAGGTGGGAGGATCACTTGAGCCCAGGAGTTCAAAGCTGCAGTGAGCTGTGATCAGACCACTGCACTCCAGGCTCAGTGACAGAATGAAACCCTATCTCTAAAAAAATTTTTTTAATTAAAATTCAAATAAAAAAATATGTATAATAACTGGGCTATCATTCAGTTCACATTTTTCTCTCTGAACACAAGGAACTTATAAGACGCTTTAGCAACCACATGCTTTGAAGTCTGTCATGGCTCAGCTGGGTCAGCTTCTGGGGCTCAGCTCCCATCTGGGACTCTCCCACTGCTCTCTCCTCATTCATGCTCTCCTACCCTGAACTCTTTGCTGTGGAATAAAATCCTTTTCATCGCCTGCAAGGTACTACCCAATTTGGCCCTTGCCTGCTTATCTGGCTTCCCCTTCCCCTTGCTCATTAGGCTGCTGTTTCCGTTCTGCAGCTCATAGTTAGCTCCTTGTGACCATTCAGGTCTGAACTTAGATATCACTTCTTTAACCAGTCTTCCTAATGTGGTTGCACCCACCTCCCTGCCCCAGCCCATCACTCCCAAACCTAACCACTCTTGTACGTCTCTCTGTTTTGTTTTCATAACACTTTGCACTTTCCCATATGCATGTATTTTGTTAAGTGGTTTATTGTCTGTTTCTTTCCATAGCACATGCATTCCACAAAAGCAGGAACCTTGTCTGTCTTATTCGTATTGTGTCCCCAAAGCCTACAATACTATCTGATACACGGCAAATGTTCTATAAATACTTGTTATATGAGTGAATGAAGAAGCTTTGCTCTCCCTGGATTGGTTCTTCCCTGCCATTAAGCCTCATGTGATCCCCTTGGTTCCTTTCCTCAAGCACTTACTTGATATCCAATAGTGGCAGATCTTGATAGGGGAGGTTGAGAAACTGGGGCCTCTCAGTTTTGTTGCCTCCCTGATGTCCATATATCTGGCGCATTCCAGGTGCCCGTCGTTGGACGTTAGCCCGGTCTTCATCGGGTAGCCAGAAGACCTGTGGTTCAGGAAGGATGGGTGTGAAGCTGGGGAAGACCTTGGGATTCCAAGGGCAGGGACAGGGGCAGAGAGGTTTGACCACAGAATGGGATATGTGAGCTGGGGCAGGGCCCTGGGGCCAGGGACCAGTCTCAAAATCATTATAATCATCATGGCCTAGGGAAGGCAGGGTAGGGAGAGGGTGTCCTGTCAACATCACCATGGCTTGGGGCACCCTTGCATTCAGCACAGTCTCCAATGTCTGAATCACAAAAGTGTCATAGTATGTGTGGTTCTGTGGGGGTCGGCGCAAGTCGAACATGATGGAAAGGTTGAGGGCTGCGGCTTCCTCCAATAGCTCTTCTAATGCTGGTACTGTCTGACTCTCAGCCTCTTTCTGATCAGGGCCTGCCAGCGGTTTGGCCCCCCAGAAGGGTCGCCTCTATAAGAAAAGACAATTATTTCAAGACCAGAAGAGGCCTCCAGGCTTTGCCCCCATCCTCATTATCTTCACTCATATCTTCCACTTGATGTCCGGCTTCTTTCCCCTCTGAGCCAGCATCTTTCTCCAAACTGTGACCTTCTTCCAGACCATCTAACATCTTACTCTGGGACCTCAACCTCCTACCCTTCCAGTTTTCTAACTTCCTCTCTTTCACCACACCTCCTTTCTTTTCTTAATTTTTTTTTTCTTTTTTTTTCTCCTCCGCCTCCTTCTCACTACACCTTCTCTTTGGTCTTGAGGAGACCTCTGCAATCTTGACCCTTTGGTTTCTTTCCAGTTCATCAGCCCCTTTCTAGCTGCACCTACGTCCCCTACCCATGGTCTATCCACAGCTTGAACGACTTTTCCATAGCATTCTCAGCTTCCTTTTTGTTCCACTTGCCCTATATCTCCCAGACTCTGATTCAGTTCTACAATTTTCTGCCTCTTCTACCTGTAGAACTGGGGGCTGAGCACCGCCAAGGGCAGAGTACACAATGTGGGCTGTTGGCACTGGAGTCCTTATTTTTTGCTCTCAGCACTGCTTAGCAATCCTTCTACTTGCTCTTGATTTGCTCCCTCTTCCATTCCCCCTAGTGTTATTCCAAGCCCCTGCCACTCTCCTCTCCTTATTCTCAATGAGTGACCTCACTTCCTAATTGCTGACATGGATAAAGTTAGCTATCTAACACTTATTAAGTACTTACTATGTGCCGGGTACTGTTCTAAGTACTTTATATGCATGAACTGATATAATCCTCCCAATAATTCTACAAGGTAGGTACTGTTATTATTCCCATTGTACAAATGAGAAAATTGAGGCACAGAGAGACTAAGAAATGCTGCCTGGGGTCACACAGCCAGGAAGTGGTGGAGCCAGGGTTCAAACCCAGACATCCTTTGCTCTTAATCACTCTGGTATAATATGATGTAAAGAGTTAAATGGAAAAAAAGCAAATTGCAAAACAGTCTGCATAATGATTCTATTGTGCAAAATAGAGAGAGAGAGAGTGTGTGTGTGTGTGTATGTGTGTATGTATGTATACAGATGCAGCTTGACATGATGGGGTTATGTCTTGATAAACCCATTTTAAGCTGAAAAGATTGGAAGTCAAAAATGTATTTAATATACCTAGCCTACTGAAATCTTAGTTTAGTCTAGCCTACCCTAAGTTTGCTCAGAACTTACATTAGCCTGCAGTTAGGCAAAACTCATCTAAACAAAGCCTGTTTTATAATGAAGTGTTGAATATCTCATGTGATTTATTGAATATTGTACTGAAAATGAAAAACATTTGTGTATGGGTACTTGAAGTGTAGTTTCTACTGAATGTGTATGAATCTCAAATCATCATAAAGTCAAAAAATCATTAAGTGGAACATCATAAGTCGGAACTGTGTGTGTGTGTGGGGGGGGGGGGTGTATCCAGCTGTTAACAGTGAATATTTCAGAGGGATTGGATTATGGGTGACTTAATTTCTATGTTATTTCTCTTATTTCTCTGACATTTTACTTTTTACAATGAACATGTATTACTTTTACAATCAGGAAAAGAGGAACTGAAAAAATTTGATATCCTTTTGAATATTTTCTACCACTTACAGGATCGAAGTTGACACTTTTGGGCCAGGCATTCGAAGCTCTTCAAGGCCAAGCTTCTGCTCCCTACCACTCTCATGAATTGTCTCTGTCAGTTACATTCGGCCACATTTTGTTCCTGGAAACACCCTTTTTCAGACTTCTGGGCTTTACATGTCCTCTTCCCTCTGATCGAGTTCCCATTCCCTGCTTTGTGCATCTTAGGAGGAGACTCTCATGTCACATGCTGCTCACACAATGCATCCTCTACTGTATGAATCCACTCCTGATTCTCTCCCAGGCAGGAAAATGTTTTTATTGCTCTAGGTTTGCTGAATCGTCTGCTGCCTAGACTCTCTACTAGGTGGGAGGGACTTGAGAGCACAGACTATGTTCTCATTGCCTAGCATGGGGCTGAGCAAACACTTATCAACAGAATGAACTCTACCCTCTCTGAGTGTCCCTGCAGGTGACTGCCTCTTTGCAGAGGCTGTCCTCACCTCTAGGAACCAGGCCCCAGCATTGAGTCTCTTCAGTTCAGCCCAGGAGAAGTCACTGCTGTGGGCTGTGATTCGGGTTGGGAACACAGAGGCTACATTCGTGGTCCTGCTCAGGTGCTCATCATGCATGAGGAAGGGGATACCGTCGGAGCTGAGGGTACAAGGGGTGTCAAAGGGCCAAGCTCTGGGGCTGATCATCATATCCTTCAGCTCCCCCTGGTCCCCTAAGCCCCAGCTTCCCTCACCTGATCATCACATCAGTCTCAAACACAGTAGCTCCGCATTCAGCTGTCTTCCTCAAGGACATCAGGGTGTTCTCGGGAGCCAGCTGGGAAGGGGAATCAGTGATGAGGTAGCAGGGGAGGGTGGGAGCCTGGGAACTCACAGGCCTGGCCTCTATAGCATGGGGGAGCAGACCCTCCCACCCTTCCAGCTTTCTGTCCAACACTCACCATGGGGGCCCCTCGGTGTCCCACCAGCCCAGGCTTGGGTGGTAAGTCCCTGGGTTCCATGATGCAGGGTGAGGAGATGCATAGGGGGGCCAAGTAGATGACCAGGACCACTCCAAAAAATAGGAGCAGTAGCAGAATCTTGGGACCTGTGGGGAGTGAGGGACAGGCTTTTAAGAATGGACAAGGGGAGAGTTCTGGGGACAGAGGCAGAGTGCAGGTGGCAGAGCATGAGTGGCCAGCAAGGATGAGTGAGGCGGCGGCGTTGGCACCTCTTCGGTGGATACGGTAGAAGGTATCAGCCACAGGCCAGGCCAGGAGGGTGATTCCAGCGACTGCTCCAACATGAAGGAATGGGGCTGTGGCCTGTGGACAAGAGCTGGTGAGGTGGGCTCTTCTCCAAGGCCCCTCCCCGCTTTCCTCTTAGGGCCTGACTATTGGAATTTAGAGCTACCTGCAGTCTTGGGGGAACAGGAGCAAGATATGTTCTAGGGTTGGCTGCAAGCCAAGGCTCCCGCCTAGACACTGGAGATTGGCCACTCACCTGCAGTGATACACGCAAACTATGCCACTCCTGCTGCCATTGGATGTCCAATCCCACAAGGCCAGCGGCCACAAGAAGCATAATGAGGAGCAGCAGCACCTGGGGGGCCAGGGATGAATAGGGCCTCTTGGTCAACCTGGGCTCATGGTTGCCTGGGCTGCTCCTTCACTCTATGGAGACGGGACCCGACCCTTCCCTTCCCCTGACACATCTGCTTTCCTCCTTTCACTCAATAAATATTTACTGAGCTTCAGGTCCTGGGTTTGACCCCCTGGGGGTATAAAAGTGAGGTCCTCAGCAAATAGCCAAGTGCTGGGCCCAGTGGCTCCCTCTCCCATGCACTCCCATCCCTACTGTACCTTGTGGAGGCTGTGCAGATGCAGGGGCTGTCTACAAAGCTGCAGAAGCAGGGCCAGGACCTGGAGGCAGAGGGTGGTGGGGCTTAAGGGGTGTCAAGAGGGGAGCAAGTTTACTGAGGTGGGCTTCCCAGGCTGGTACCTCCCTCCTATGCAAGAATTAGCGCCCCCCTCAGTAGCCAGGATGAGAATAGGGAGCTAGAACTAAGCAGGAAGGAAGGCTGAGGTGGGGGTTAGGCCAGTGGCCTCTGGACCCACCAATAGCAAGGATGCATATGTGACCAGTAAAGAGATGACCAGCAGGAATGCCAGGGACCAGTCCAACCAGTGTCCCCAGTGGTGGAAGAGGAATCTGTGGGAGGGGAGAGGGAGGTGTCCAAGCAGGGGAAGCGGTATCAATAGTGGCCTGAGGGGAGTTGGGATGGGTGGATCCAGGAGGACTAGAACGGAGTGAGGAGAAAGCCCCTCACGGGGCCAGGGGCTCCGAGGATTGAGGAGATTTTGTAGAGGGATTTTCCAAGGAGAAGCAGGGCTGGGGGATGACTGACAATGGGGCACCCAGGGGTCCCAGGGTGGGGAGCAGGTTGAGAGCTAGGCTGGGGAAGCAGGAGGGAATCCATGACACACTCATTGAAGTTGTGCAGGTCATTGAGAAGGACGAGCCCGATGTACAGCCAGCTCAGGGAGAGCAGGAAGGTGAGGAAGAGCAGGCCAAACCAGATACAGTCGCACTGTAAAGGGGCAGGAGAGAAGCTCACAACCAATACCTACTTCAAGCTCAGAGTCCCCAACGGGTGGCAGCTGAAGCGAGCTGCCTGCCTCATGTTGGGCTGCTCTGCTCGGGGGCAGCTCTTTCCATATTTGAGGGAGATTTTCTTCCTGGGAGAGAGAGCCCCTTCCCCCAAGCTGTCTATGAGCACAGTTGGCCTTCTCATCCCCTCCAGTGGGCGTCTGCCTTCTGACTTTCAGCCTCCCCCTTCCACCCCTACTCCACCTTGCTGGTTTGCATCCTCTCTCTGGGGCATTTCCTCCAGTGGCAGCTATACAGGCAGTGGAGGCAGCGGGCCCAGACGGAGCAGCAGCCGAGGGACTCGGCCATGGTGAAGGCCTGGGGGAAGGGACACTCGGCCATCAGGGACCCTGGCAGAGGGCAGATCCCAGCCTCCCTCCCAGTGTATCTGAGGGGCCTGGGGGAGGGGCAGAGGCCTGGGCTGCTGCTCAGCAACGGAGGTCACGGGGCAGGCCCAGAGTGCCAGACTGGATGAGGCCGAGCAGCCTTAGCTGCAAGCCTGGCAATGGGAGACAATCTCCAGAGCCTTCCTTTCCCTGTAATCTTGGTATCTGGAGAGTCCATGGGACACCCAAGAGGTCCAGCCTCTTTTGGGGCAGGCTGCATACCCACACTCTCCAGCTCCTCCCCAGTTAACAGCACACACCTCTGGGGATGGAGTGCTTGCCCTGGAGTTAGGCACTCAAGAGAAACTGCTCAGGGTGGGGCAAACTAAGTTCAGCAAGTTAAAGCAGGTTTGGCCAAGCTGGAGGCAGCCCCATGTTGAATTGCTTTCCAGCCCAGGAAGCAGGAGTAACCTGAAGCAAAGTTTCCAGTTCTGACCTGGGGCTATGGAAGACCCAGCTACTTGGCCAGTTGCTATGGATATGGAGATTGTTCAGATCACAAATCCCTGACTGAAAGATTCTCTGTGCCCACCTCCCAGGGGACAGAGGGCACTGCCAAAAAGAGGAAGACTTTAGGTGAATATGTTGCCTGGGTCACTCCCAGCCTTCTAAAGGAATCTTTGAATTTTCAGAATACAAAGTCTCCCCCTCAAGTCCTGCCCTTTCCTGCCCAGTCACCCCCCCCACCCCAACCAGAAGCCCAGAATCGCCTTCAGGAGCCCCACCCTCTAAGTTAGCTTTGGTGAAAGTACAACCAACATAGGGCAAAGGTGTGTATGCGGGGTGTGGTTGCCTTAGGGCAGCGGACCCCTGTACCTTATGCTTCTGGGTTTGGCTGACTGAGCTGATCCCAGACTTGGCTGGATATGTGACTGATTCTACACGAGAGGGTGTGTGATTTGTGTCAGCATTTGTGTGTTTGCACAACTGGCTTTCATTACAATACGATTTTAGGTGGCTTTAAGTATGTAAAGGAGCCCCTGGGTACATCCAAAGTGTGTGAGCTTCTGTGTGTGTGGGCTGAGGGACAGGACCACTTGTCCTCAGAGCTCCCCCGAGGCTGTGGAATCTTACAGGGGTGCACAGTGGCTGGGTCTGGTAAGGAGAAAGGTGTAGCTGCTTCTGAACTGCCCTCTTTATGCTGCCTTGGGAAAGGAGGGTTAGGGTAGGGGTGAGGAGCTGGAGCTGGGGGAAGGAAACCTCTCCCCTTCCGAGACCCTTCCCGGTAAAAAGCCAACCCAAAGGGAAGCCCTTGCCTCTGCCCATCTTGGAGCTACTTTGACAGCCTGCCCTAAGCTCTTGCCTCCCCTGGGGTCCTACCCCTGCACCCCAGACACTGCCTTCCAGAGTCCCCCTCCCTTCAGGAGCTGTCTGTAGGATGGGATCAGGGTCTGAGCAGCCTGAAAACCCCAAGTAGGGGAGCTGACAGAGGTGCCATTCAATCCCCAGGCCTAATCCCTGCGAGATGGAGCTGGTCTCTGCTCCACAGCTCCCGCCTGTAGCCCCCCCAGCCTTCCCAAACCCTCACACCTTTGCTCAGCGGCAGCTCCACTCCGCTCTGCTCTCTGTACTGCTTCCCAGCTCGTCTCCGAGTGGTCTGCCTCCTCCCTTTTTCAGTCTTCGGTTCAGCCCTCTGAGTCAAACAGGTGGCACTGTTGCCACCTACAGGAGGCTGTGTGGGTCCTCTCCCAAGGCCTGCAGCTGCTCTGTGGCCTGGGCACAGCCCGGGTGGGAAGATGGGAGGGAGGAAAGGGGAGGGAGAACAAATCTGCTTCTTTACTCGCTGGCGGTCAGGGGGCTTGGGGTGAGGAATTCCTTTGTGCAGCTTTTCCCATCCCTCTATCCCTCCTCCTATTCCCCTCCCAGTCACTGCCGGAGCTTTGTCCTGGCTCAGGGAGGTGAGAGCTGAGGGCACAGGCAGGCGGGAAGCTGGGGGGGAGGTGACCACACAACTTTGCAACTTGGCAGTGAGGAGAAGGGGCCCAGCCAGCCCACTGGAAAAGCGTGTGTGTGTGTGTGTGTGTGTGAGAGAGAGAGAGAGAGAGAGAGAAGAGAGAGAGAGAGAGAGAGAGAGAGAGAGAGAGAGAGAGAGAGAGAGAGGGAGGGAGAGAGTGTCTAACTTCATCTCAAGCTCCTTGGGAGTACAGCCTTTATTCATTAGGCTCCCTCCCCTCTTGAGCTTCTACTTCTAATTCAGTAAGGTAAGGTGCATCTATAAGAAGCTGCAGCCCGGCGCGGCAACTCACGCCTGTAATCCCAGCACTCTGGGAGGCGGAGGTGGGCGGATCACCTGAGGTCAGGAGATTGAGACCAGCCTGGCCAACTTGATGAAACCCCATCTCTACAAAAAATAGAAAAATTAGCCAGTCGTGGTGGTGTGGACTTGTAGTCCCAGCTACTTGGGAGGCTGATGTGGGAAGATTGCTTGAGCCCAGGGGGTCAAGGATGTAGTGAGTTGAGATCGTGCCACTACACTCCAGCTTGGGCAACAGAAGCTATAAGCTACTTCCTGAACTCTGGACAGCAAGTTGCCGTTTTCTGGACCGGAGGTCCCCATGAGCCTTGTGGATCCTGGGTGACACTAGCAGTTCTCCCTTTCCCTCATTACCCCAGACAGGAGATGCTCATTCAGGAGCTGCTGAGACTTGTGTCATTTCTGCTGCCTTGTCCCTAAGGCATCTGAGTCTCTTTCCAAGAATCCTTTGAGGAGTGTAGAGTATACTGGGGTCACAGGCTTTTGGAAGATGAACAACACATACAAAAGATGCTGTTACTATAGCATCAGCATCAGCAGGGAAGGGCTGGCTAGCATGCTATAGGGTTTGCTTAGTGCTTAAAGTACAGGGGTCTGGGTGGGATGGGGGCCAGGGGCTGGCTTGATTGACCTCTCCCTCTACATTACGCCTGATGCAGTGACTTGAGGTCTGGGGGTTATTAGTGCAGTGTTGGTGGGAAAGGATGTTTTCTCTGTGGATAAGCCTGCTTGCCCCTCCCCCCACACACACTGGATTTCAAACAGTGAGAAGGAAGACTGGCTCTCTTATGCCAAGAGCCGGCCCCCCTCCCTCTTAGCCTTCCCATTGTATCCAGAGGCTCTAGTTGGCAATGGCAGAGGCTCCCTTGCTCCCTCGGCATTAAAATGCAAAGAGAAGCAGGGCTGCTTGCTGGCAGGATGCCAGGGAAGGCTAGCAGGTCACCTAGTACATTGCAGGCTTCATTCTAGGCAGACTGTTGCTCAATTCTTTTGCTTGGGCTCTGGTGGATTCTAGGAGTCTTGGCTTTTGAGTTTTTGGGGATGATCTGGGAGCTTTTTTGGGGAGAAAGGTTCTGGGATTCAGAATGCATGGACATGAAGCCCAGGGCTTTTGAACTCCTCAGAAGGCTACAAGGCTGGTCAGTAGCCTGTGCATGGCATTCCAGGGCTGGCCCCCTTTTAGCTTTAAGCAGAGATGGAGAATCCTGATGCATTGTAAGGTGTAAGCATCTTTCAAAGGAAAAAGCAAGGAGTCAGTGCTGTTCTGTCCTGGGACTGGACAGCAGTGTAGTGCAATGCTTCTCCTACACTAAGAAATCAGGCTGTAGGGCATTAGAAGTGGCCGCTGCTGGCACTCTACTAGAGAGTTGGCTAGAATGAAGAAGCTTGGATGGTGGCTCTGCGTTCAGGTGATAGCTCTTTTACTCACTAACTTTGTGACTCTGGGTAAGTTACTTAACTTCTGTGCACACTAGTTTCCTCATCTGCAAAATAAGGACATCTATCTGTGTTGACTTTTTTTGTGTGTGTGAAAAACAAATAAAACTGTGGCAAGAACATGGAGATGGTTAGTAAATGTGGTTTCTTCCTCTCAAATCTGGAAGCCAGGCAGTTTCTACAGCGGTCAGGCCACTGGCCTTGCTAACGCGATTCCAATTTCCTAGGGTAGCAGAGCAACTTAAAGACCCGTCACACTCCACACTACCCTCTGGGAAAGAGGGCAGCTACAATAAGGCAAGGAGGCTCAGGTACTTGAAATGAATCTCCTTAATAGCTACCCCAGGGGCTGAGGAACACAGGTTGAAATTTTATTTCTCCCTCGAGCACAGAAGGATCTTCCCAAACAGTAGATGAGCTAAGGTTTATTTACTTAGTTAACATTTAAAAATAGTTCATTTACTTCAACAACATGGCAGACAGTCAAGAGTACTATTGAAACACAATTCAGAGAGGGTCAGGACAGAAAAGATCACAACCCCATTCCTGAGGTGGAGTGAAAGATCTAAGCCAGGCCTCCATCCTAGGCCAGGCTCCTCCATTAAACAGAGACAACCAAAAGATAGGAAAGCCATCAGGAGATAGCCTGAACTGCTCACAAATAAGAAAGAACTTGACCATACTAAGGGCTGGTTCCTGATGAGTCATTAGGAAAGTCAGTTGGTTCTCTCTTTAGTAGGTGGCTTAGTACCCTTCTGGAGAACAGAGAACAGTAGTCTGGGGCTGGAGGCTGAGGGCCAACATCCAACAAAGGTTACCTTCTTTTCAGTAATGCTTTGTTCCTTTTTACAACAACAAGAAACCTGAAATCCAGAGAAGTCATTTAAAAAACCCCTTCTGGCTGCAACCTGAAAGCATCTCCCAGGCCAGATTGGGGGTAGAGAAGATGACTCCAACTTCAGCGGGCCTCTTCTTCAATAGGGGAGCAGCCAGAGAAGAAGCTGGTGTTGCTGGCCAGAGCTCGTTTCTTTTTCTTCCCTGGAGCCTTATTTTCTTGGTATTCTGCTGCTACAGGTTTCAACTCTGGGAGGTCAAAAGGGGAGGGAGGTGGGGAAGTCTTCTTTGACAGTACTTGCTTCACGTCACACATCTCTTTCAGGATCTAGGAGGGACAGAGACAGGTATGAATAGACTTTAGAAAGGGCAGAAGCTCAGCCCAGCTGAGCTGCTATAGATGCTTGACATACTCCCAGTAGTATAAGGTGTTCTTTAAGATTGTTCTGCGGAAAAACTAGACTCTAGTTTATGCCCAATCCCTAGTTCCCAGCAAGCTGATTATATGTTTACTCCATCTGCCTCTCTCCTACTGGTCTATCATAGATAATACAGAGAAGGATGCTAATCCTGTTTTCCAATGTCTGCCTTTTAACCCACCTACCTTGCTATTGGGGGTGGCACAGACAGGGTTAAAGAAGCTCAATCCTGGAGTCACCTCAGTAGGATCCTCCAGTTTGAAGGAGCCTTCGGAATCCTGGGTCCGTTCAATTGTGCTCAAGCTATCCTGAAAATACAGGCATATTATAAATTTGGCTACTAAGGTTACAAAATCAGTCTGTTTCCATTCAACCAAAGAGGTAAGTGCCTGATTAGTCAGTCGAAGCAAGTCTTAGGGAGGCCCTGCTTGGGGAGGTCTTAGTATTTGACATGCTCTGTCCCTGAAGGAATGGAGCAATGCTTGTATGTAGCCTCTGAAGGCGAAGACTAGGCAGTGGCATGGGACATCTCACAAGGCCAGGTTTAAAGCAAAGACAAGCCTTGGTCATTTGTTTGACTAAACTCCCCCTCTATAATTTGCAATATCCCTTTTAGCATCCATATAGGGTGTTGCCTGTATTAGTATTCCTTTCAGTTAAGGAAACTGAGTCCAAGAGAGATAGAGATAGGTGAGGAGGGAAGGACTGCCTCTCTGCCTGGAGGCCCTTTCACGGAGCTACTACATGACTCTTGAACCCAAATTGAAAAACCACAGGGATAGAGAATCCTTAAGGTCTCTGCTACTTTTATAGGTCTTAGCCTGGCCTCTGGCTTGCCTATCTATGTTAGAAGACTTTGTAATAGAACACGCAGGCTGAAACTCTTCACATGTAGATGTTCAAGAAATGCATGATGAATCATCATTAGATTGTGCTTGCTAGAATTACTGTGTATCACACAGAGAGCTGGAGTAATGCATTTTTGCTATGGCACAGGTAGGTGTAAGGCAGTTATAGGGATCTGACTTGCTTGGTGCTGCTTTTCTCAGGGCACATTTGATTTTCCTGAGTTTGCTATTCCTGGGAGCAATATTAAGAGGACATTTAGGTTAACTTAGTTTACAACAATGACTATTAGAAAGGCCTGGTTCCTGTGGATCTTTTCCTAGAGCTAAGAAATAGCTAGCTGGTTCCCATGGAGAGAATCTAAGTAACGAATGTCTCAAGATGTCAGAAGGATTAACTTCTTGGAAGCTGCTACCTCAGTACGTGGCTCTTACAGTTCCAGTTAAACCTCTGGACTAGTTTGATCCTACATGTCTATATGCCTGTGAATGCCTGCTTTCTTGTCCTTGTTGTCTCATCAACAGTACAGAAACTTTACAGCCAAGGCTTGGGGTAGGGAGCTCTATACCTGGGAATCTCCTGGGAAGTGCAGTGGTTTCTGAAAGGGGTATGTGAACAGGCAAGCAGCAAGGAAAAAGGATTGAGAAGTGAACTATCTCTTTTTCTGGGTGCGGAGGGAAGGAGAAGGGTAGGAAGAACTGTGCAGGAGACTCCAGGTTTCAGGACAGAATGCAGAAAAAGAGGGTGGAAACTAGTGGAGGTCTGAAAGGATGGGGAGAGGAAACAGTACTGATCCTACCTTGCCTTGCTGGCGGTTCCGACACTTTGCAGGGTCACAGCTACAGTCCACACCACAGTCTGACTTTTGTTTCCTGCACCCACACTGCTTGTTTCCACACCAGCCCTTGCAGGAACACTGCAAAACACGTTTGCAGAAAGACACATTACTGAAAGGGTTAGAAGACTAGTTTACAATGACTTCCCTTCATTCACAAGCTTTTCTAGAAAAATGGAAAGTACTATTATATACCAAGCTTCAATCTCCTTAGTCCTCTCTTCTTTAGTGAAATAGTAATCACCAAGAGCCATCAT